TCAAAAGACATCCCTTCAAGCCGTTTTGATAACTTTATTTCCAACCTGTTATCTTCTCAAGTTTTGTTATATCTATCAGTCCTATTATACCTGTTAACTGTCTTTTTTGACGTCCGACTGTTTGACATTCATTTCCTGGATCAATAATCTGGAACTATATTGATATTCTATGGCTCTTGAATTTATCCGAATCAAATATCCATAGTTGTCATCAACGACTGGTATAATCGACAGTATATTGCAAGTATTCACCGCCAACCAACGTTTCTTTCTACAAATATCAAGAAAGTGTTTACCTTGACCACTGTGTCACTTCTTAAAGTCTATATAAATCGTTCTGTGTCCACACTTTAATGAATCTTTCAGCTAGTAAACACTGGTTTAAGGTTTCGGTTTTGATTAATGCTGATTCCAGAATGCTATAAAATTGCGACGGTGAATTCTGGGACGTATTTCATATAAGGAAGAAAGATCTGGTCTAGGCCATTTGATTTTATGACGGTTTGCTTATTCGCCAAAAACCTTCTAATGAATTTGTGCCAGTAGATATTCTTACACAGGGTGGATATGAGATGAGTTACTTTAAACTTTTGTGCATTGAGAATGGTGAAATTAGTTTTGGTTTCGGTGTAACGCGTTTTTCACATACCTCACATTAAGAAGCATTCGATCTGCTGAAGTTGTGGCTTGATATTTGGTCAGCGTCGTCAATCTTTGTGTATAATTGAAAACTCACTCTTCTTCCTGAATAAAGCATTCTTGTCCCATATATTTGATATTGTCAGGGATTTCGTTGTTTAAATAATAATTATTTTCAATTTCATTTCACTTGAGGATAATTAATGCCTGAAAAATATGACGCGTTCAAATCTTTGGTTCATTGTCACAACAGAATACAACAACGTTTGTAAGTGTTTGTATCATTCTCTTGCTGTTGTAGTTGTTAAATACTGCAATTGATCAGGCTCTTATAACATCTGTGGTTTCTGAGCTTTTTCCTTCATATTGCAATTTTGACGAGTCTAAACTCAATAGCTTAGTAAATATTAGTCTGACATTCGGAGACATAAAGCTGTATCTGTCAGTATTCATAATTAACTGTGTTAAGCTAATGGTTTTTAACAGGGAGATACCCAATCCTCTTACTATAATACGATAGACATTAACTCATAGAGGCTAATCAAGAGGTGATGCAGAATTGTAGCTGAAGTAGGTGATTTCAATTCGAATTTTCATCTATGAGCTGGATGTTTTAAGCATGAAGCTTTGATTTTTCCTCCGAATAACACTACCAAGATTATTAAGGCGGTTTAACTTCGGTGTAGCACATAAATCAACTAAATTACCCAGATCATTTGTATTCAAACCAAATAAAAAACTGACGAGTGAAGAAAACCCAAAAAGCATATATAAAATAAACGGTCCCATACTAGAGGATTAGTACATCGGTCAGATTGGACGCTCTCCTCATCTTCGTCTGCATCAAGGTTGACTAGTTCTCAAATCCAATTTTCTATCTTCACTTAGTTCAGTGCAGTCGGATAATTCAGGACTCACATTTGACTATGGATATGTTAAAAATGTGAATAAGGCGAATACTAAGAACATCAGAGGATTTTTAGTAGCTTGGTCCTCAAATCAATTCACAATCCACAAACACATGTAAATCGATCCAAGTTTCAACTTGTGAGAAAAACCATAGACAAATAGAAGCATCAGTAATTAATTCAGAGAGAGAGATAAGTAAAATAAGTATCTGGGCATCAACAGGTTAAAGATTATCACTTGCAAATCACGACAAAGCTGAAGAGGACAAGCCGTCAGTCACACGTGGAGAAATTCGAATATGTGGTTCCCACCTGAAGTTTGTCCTGACGAATTTGCTTAGACGAACGATGAAAGCTTCTGAGGCGGACCATTCAGCTCAGAGAACGTAAGTTCACCAGAGACAGCTATCCGTCCTCAGTTCATAGAATTAGCAAACAAACACGTACGCATAATTTTATACAAAGTGAGTATGCTATTGGCTTTTCGAACTCAGTAAATTTGATGGTTTTTCAAGTGATATATATTAGATCTGATTTTCAATATTAACATCAACATTGTTGTGTGAGAGCATCCAGCCGACAGGTTCCGAAAATGGAGCGAAGAAATCTTGGATTTCACTACTAGTTATATTAAGAGCCAAATAAAGCCTAAAGATATTTGGTCACTTAAACACCGAATACTGGTTAACAAAAAGACTAAGTAATAGGTATTAAGATTTCTGAATTTCTTCACTGTAACCTAAAGATTCATGCTAGTTGGAATCAAATTGCTAACTGCTAAGGTGTTCATTCAGGTGGTCACGATTCTTAATAATTTTATTTTGCAATATCTTGAGTTACTAATTTGATGCATCGAAATTGTTTGTATTTATTAACCTTTCTACAACTTAATTTTCGCCCATTATCTATTGCTCGAGGTCCACTCAAATCTTCCATGTGCTAGATTTCACAGTGGTAGAGTAATGGAGCCTCCAGTTTCAATAAAATATTATTTTCAAACCCCATTCCGATGTATGCTAATTATGCTGACAGGCATATATTGTATTTAACACCTACGAGAAGTGGAATGCGTGACAGCAGAAGGTTGGAAAGATAGAATTCAAGTGAATGAGAAAAGAGAATAATTGTTATGAGCTGACAGATGTAGTTGAATTGCTTGTAAATGATGGAAACACAGGGAAGATATGTCATTTTTATTTGGTTCGTTTTAGGTAGACACACTTATCAATTTAACGCATAATTGAATAAACCAGCTCTTATTATCTCGATGAGTATGATACCAGTCAGCATTGAAGTGAACTTTTGTTGATCCTATCTCTATTGATTTGAAATATTGTGATTTCATCACGTATCCACTAGTAATTGGATCCATGACAACCAGCAGAGTTCTGATGAGTTGTCTTGATCTCTGGAGTTCAACAATTTCAAGTGAAACAGTTACACCAAGGACATGGTGAGTTTTCAAAAATAAAAATGTACAACGTTTTATCCCGACTGAGTTAGTGGTTAATTGCCTGTTATGAAATATGAAGTCCCTAGATTTTATCTCTTCTAAAGTAAAAGGTTGATCCATTACACACAGTTTCATATTAGAACAAAACAGCCATGCAGAGCCTCCTGCTTTTAATAATTGTCTAACTGAGGTCAGTTCATAATACAACTTATGAAACTCAATAATTCTTACAAACGTCGAACACTAAACATCAGTATGTGTATCATTTAGATTTCAGTAATCTTTCTTCTCCGACTTTATTTAAATTGTATTTTAACCGTTATTGTTCAACTAACAATCCAGAATGTCTGCTTGATAGTAACATTTAACTAAGTAACCGATAAGGACAGTTTCACTTAGCAAACGTGATGAACAAAAGGGAAGTATGTTGTGTTCTGAAAGCTAAAATACCTCGTAATTAGATGAAACTCATTTCAGTACATGGATGACTACCTGTAATATTGGTTGTTTTAATGTTATATCTGGTCAGTGGATCGATATCTGAATGTGCTGAAACACTTTCATCACTATGGTAATAATGATTCCCTCAATTTAAGTCTCGTGATTAGGAAGTTTCAATCACAACCACGTAAAGTCCGTTGATATATTTACCGAATTTAATCAAATCTTCTTAATCATTATGAGACTTGAATAACTTGACTTCAGTCGTTTGTTGTACTCCATCGAAATATCTCAAATGATCATCCAATACATAATGTTTGTTAAATCGTTTTTCACTTGTGCTTTGATTAGTGATTTTACAAAACAAGTTTTTATCAGTATAAAGAATTGCGAGGATTGTATTATATTCACCATTGAGTTCAGAACTTCATATAAGTGGAGTCTAATTCGTGTCAGGTATGAGACATTTATGTACCTCAAACAATGGACGAAGAGTTATGAAATACTGTGAATTCATTGTAGTTTGGCATTGACACTATTGGATGCTGACTAAGTGGTTTAGGGGTTGTGAGACCACTCGCGATACCGAAGATCCTGGGTTTGAGTGTTTGAAGAATTTTTCATCAGTTGGTTCGATTCTTTCAAAATCCATCATTATTGAACTACAAAGTCTAGTGATCTCCACATCTATCTACTAATCTTTAACAATTTATCAATGAAACGATTGCTGATTTCTTGATAAAATTATTCACATATATTTTAATTAATGAGAAGAAGCTTTACAATGCAAATATAAATACATGAAAAGAAGAATTAAACAAAACTCAATTCAAATCAAGCTGTGTATAAATATAGAGATAACCTATGAAATGATTGTTTAAATCAATCAAATTTTGAAAAAAAAATTTGGCGGGTTTTACAACACTTCGTTTCTCAATCAATATTTTTGTGAAAAAAATCATGAAAATAAATGCAAAAAAAGCTAAATAATAAGTTTTGAATATTTATTAAATCATCAATAATCATTGAATGAATAACATTGTCATTATTATATCAGCGTGTATTTGTGTAGATGGTGATTAAGATGGTGGAGAAGACTTGTAGTTAAAAGTGGATAGTTTGATTGTGAAGCTTTCATCATCATTCGAGCACTTAACTTCCATGTGAAGTTTGTGTTGATGATGTTGTTCGGAAAAGTTTTGAAGACTTCATGACCAAACTAATCAGCTCAGAGTACAAATCTTCATTAAAATGTGTGATCAATTTCTACATTCATTGTTTAAATCAACATTCATAATACAGTTTTTTTGTTATGCTGATTATAAATGATTCAAGCATAGCGTTGGTTACAATAAATAAACGATTATAGTATATAGTTTATAAGCAAATTTTATACGGATATCCACAGTTTGCTTTGATAATGAATTTTCAATCTCATTGAATATAAGCATAATTTGTTCAGTAAACATTCAAATTACATAAAGGCTATACGGTGTGATATAACATAATTGAATATTGAAAAGGTTTCTTTGATTTATTTTATAGAAAAATGAATAGATTCAATTTTTTTCTGGCATATCTTGTAATGTATGCCATTGTGCTATAGGACGTCTTGGATTAGCTAACATATCTGACCAATGACGAAGTGCTGCACCTGTTGCATTACAACCTAATACAATTCGACCTATTGGTTCAGAGGTTCCAATACGATCATAGTCAACAACAGTGACAATTAAATTGACTTTCTGTAAAATTGAAAATTAAACATTGAATGTAATATAAATACATTTTAAAACGTATTAAAGCTTAGCCATTCGATAAGTATATCATGTAGCTGTGGTTATATATATCATATAAAGGTTAAACGATTTGGTGAGATTATAAACAAGAAATCCTATTGGGATACGCCATTGCGTCATCACCAATTACTAGTACATTATTAGTTAAACACGTAACCTTTGGGACAAGAAAGAACCAAATATGTATTCGCCAGACAAATCATTCGATTTTTGTGAGAGCTAAAATACTGCTCAGGGGCCTAAACCGAGCTAGGTGGTTTCCATGGAAAAAGGTCACTCTCCGAGGATTGTAGTACCGATGCATAAAGAGAACTAAAGTAGCAGTTTGGTGAATCGAGTAAATTATAAGGAAAATCTTTATAAAATGCCTAAACAGATTATGTGATTTTAAAATCGGAATGAAACCTAGTAAAACTGTAGATTGGCCCATGTTGACATGCTACATCGGAAATGCAAGATAAAACTAACAAGATTCATACAAAGGAGTCTTATTTTTGTTGTCTCAACTTTTTTCTAGCTTACTATTAGTTAATCAAACCCACGTATCGTGGTAAACAGTGGTTAGGTATACATATCTTAACCACCCTGATCGAAAAAATCTAATAACTTGATCAGCTGATTCGTCAAAATAGAGAGTTAAACTGAGAAGTTCTATACTTGGACGAAACGGCCATCCAGTGGTTCTAGATTGTCCACGATAGTCTAGTCCATGAATTCAAGTATTAAATTAAACTACAACTAGATGTATACAAATCACTAACTTACTTGTATTTGATCAAATGGTACATCAAATGCAAATGATTCATTGTAATAAGGATTTAATGTGTATTTCTTAATTGTTGTCTTCTTTTTTTTAATACGTTTACCATTAAACATTAATGAAAGTTTCACATAGGGATCTAAAAAGAAGAGAAGAGAAGAAAAGCGATGAGAAAATTCATAAAGAAACTTCAATGATTGTCACAATAAGAAACAGTTTACAAACATCTTTGTATCATTGCTCAATATCTTCGATAAACAGAAATATGTCGTCTGGATAGTCTATATTGATAGACGATTCGTTTAGAAGGAGTTCAAACCTTAAGAACCATTCTCATTAAATATATGTTTAAAATAAAGTCAAACAACATTATCCACGACCTCGCGAGCGGTATCATTGATGCGCACTGATGAGGAATCCCACAATAGGATAAAACGGCCGTCCAGTGCTTCCAGGTTTTCATTGGTGGTCTAACATCAATCAGTTCATCATCTCAATCAAAAAATTATTAAATTCAGACAATGATTGATGCTAGAACCTTGAAACGAAACATACAAGATGGATACATAATAAAACAGGTTTATTTAAAACATAATTTTTATGCGACGTACAGTGTTCGAATTCAGATACTGATGCATAATATGCTATAAGATAACCTCCAAAACTGATTACATGAGAGAGAAAAGTATAATGGGCTGCTGAATGAAATACACAAATACGCATTCATATATATGTATATATACTAGTCTAGCCTTAGGAAATTGACCAAATGACCTCACTGAAGTGCATTTCACCTTTAGGTCATTACCGATTGTCATCAATTGACTTTTGTCTACTTTTGATTGTCTCTTCATTTCAAATTTAATTACAGGAAAGAATATAACAGAACAAATACCGAGACTCTAATTTATGGACGAGTCATTCAGAGGCGTTTTAGAGATTTCAAGGTTACGGTGCCAACTTCAGTACTTAATGCTAACATACGATCGTTTCACAGGGAATTTTGTATAACACGTGATAATTGAACGTCTATAACGAATAAAACGGCGTGACTATAATTTGTTAATGAATCAATCAGGTATAATATAATAGATCTCGGACTTTAACGTGAAAGCCTTTCATCCATTTGGCTTTGTATAATAATACTGACTGTTTGCTAATTGGCTATTATTTCTCAAGGTCGCTTATGATTCGTTCAAAGGTCGTCGATAAATTAGGATCTCGCCATACTCTTATATTCCCCTATTTCTAAACTGTAGTTTGATTCACAAATTGTTGTCATAAGTATTATTATTTTAGATTTATCATTCATTAACTATTTTCCGATTACTCTGGTTTTCACCATGTTTGACTGAGTTGTGTGTACATTGTAATTCCTTGACTGTATTACTGTGTAGTCTGACATTTCAAGTACATATTAATAGAAGCTTCAAGTCATCACTGAGTGATAGAAATTGTGTTTGTAGACTACATATAAGATTTCAATAGACTCGTTAAGATAATACTGATATTCGTAACTATTTTTGGTTTTAAAACGATAGTTGTCAGTCAGTCAGTAACAATGTAGAACCTCATACGTACGTACATCAGTTCGAGTCGCCATACAACATGAGAACAGACATGCAGTTGTCGATTCAAGTCCCGTAGTGGTAGAGGCGGTAAGAGTATAAACAGTAATCGGAAAAATTAGCATTGGAAGATGTTATGTAAAGAGTATAATCCAGTGAAATAAATTCGGAAAGAGAAATAAAGAAGAGGATTCAGGAGATTAGAATTTGGGAGAACACAAAGAGTGGATGCACCTGCGCCATTGCAAACAATTTTGAGTCATGTTATTCAGGGTCTCTAACCACAGTTCTAAGCCTTCTAGTTGGAAGAAAAATCGAAGACATCTCGATCAATTAACCTTCAACAATAATTTTCCAGAAAGTTCCAAAAATATACAATGGATGATATGTTACACAATGAATAAAGAATTACTAAGACTTCTGGAAACTTACATAAAACTAAAATGGTTTAAATGGATCATGTTTTCTACATCAAAACTAACCTTGAAAGTAAAATGTCATTTATGTTTTCTAGGTGTTTTTTCTTCAATTAATGAGGTTTCTACTTCAGATATATCATATATAACATTTATAAAATCCATTTTAAGTCAATTTATAGGTTTATTCATGAATTTTTTCAAGAACACCGATTGGAATTGTTTACATTTCATGAAATGTTTTACACTGGTGCGAGACTGTTAGGTCCTGGGTTCGAATCTCGTGGGATGCGGGATCATGGATGCGTACAGCTGAGGAGTCCCGTACTAAAACGAAACGGCCGTCCAATGCTTCCAGGTTTTCCATAGTGGTCTAGCTTCAATTGACTAATGATTTCAATCAGTGAAATTTCTAAAATCTCCACAAAACCCCTTCTGATAATAATCATCTGATCACTAGTGACTGACTTCAAGAGATACTTCTGGAATTCTAATGAGAAGCCGTTACCTGTGGAGTTCAACCAGGTCTGTTATGAGATATCAACTCACTGAAGACAATGGTGTACGATGACGCAACTTCGTTGATTGGTTGAAGTTAGACATTAGCACCGTTGGATACTAGCCGGCTCAGTGGTCTAGTTGGTTAAGCTCCTGGCGCGAGACTGATAGGTCCTGGGTTCGAATCTCGTGTGGTGAGGGATCGTGGATGCGCACTGTTGAGGAGTCCCATATTAAAAAATTACTATGATATCCACAAACCGCAATTCGCATAATAAATTGTACATCAATGATGAAATCCGTATTCCAATTCTATGATAATGATTACTTATGATTACATAGACTATAAGAATTACATATATCATATAATTGGAAAACATTCATACATACTACTTATAATAACTAATTCACTCAGTAAACTACCTGAAAGTCCACCGACATCCATTTTTTTCAAATTTTTAGCTTCTAATATATTCACATTCAATCGACCAGATGTTGGAACATAACGCAATGAGAAGCAGATATCACCTAGACGATTTTCCTTTTTGAAGTAAGAAATACAAAAATAAATTGAGATTAGACATTTAACACAATAAGTTAGACGATTACTAGAATAATAAGAAGTAATTAGTCGATGTTTCCGTTTCTGGTAGGAAAATTCCTTGAACTATAATTCCATAAGGATGCAAGGAATCTAACGGTAAATATGTGGAACAAGATCTATTTGACATGATGTATAATCATTACTATTCATTTTTTAACACTAGAAGGATATTGAAAAGTGTTTTTGATATATAAAGGCTAACTTTATGTGAAGAAGGCAATTATAAAGTGAATTTCAACAGTTGAGATCATGAGTCAATCAAAGCTTAACCAGCATGGAAAACCTGAAGGCACTGGACGGCCGTTTTATCCTATTGCGGGACTCCTCATCAGTGCGCATCCACGACTTCGCCTCGCGGGATTCGAACCTAGGACCTATCAGTCTCGCCCCAAGAGTCCGGCTTCAAAAGATATATCATGGAGTTCTAGTGAGAAGCAGTGATCAGTGGAGTTCAACCGGGTCAGTTGTGAGGTAGTAACTCACTGATGACAACGATGGATGTGTCGCTCAATTTCGAGGATTAGTTGAAGTTAGACATTAAGACCGTTGTTGCCGGCTCAATGGTCTAGTTGTTTAAGTACCTGGCGCGAGACTGATAAAGTGAATTCTTAATATGGTGTGATCACATAACAATTTCCGATTATTTGACTGGAAATAACTTTTATGTTTTAATTATCGAGATGCTTCCTTATCACACAAAGTTATACAAAGTTATCCGTTTAATGATTGATGTTTGATCATAAATTGACAAAGTTTATTACGAAGCAATTTGTCAGTGTGAATCAATCAATCAATTTGTTCAATTTAAATAAAATAGAGAGAAATTTGTAACATGCGGATAAATCGATTGATAAGTATTAATGCTTAATTCATCACAGAGCGATGATGAATATCAAAGTGATCTGTTAATGTATACCTGTAGCGTGGCATCGAATCGTGGTTGACTATAATCAACAATACAAGAAGGTTGCGTACCAGATATCGGAAGGCAATTGGAGGTTGTAACGAGATATATTTGTTAGCGATCCCGTGGTATCAAAAGAATACCGAGATCGTTCCAAAGGAGTACAAGCGGAAACACTGAGCAAACGTAAGTGCATCCAAGGTCACAATCAACGAAAGGAAGAATGGAAGAATAGTAGATGTCTTTAGTACAGTTAAACAATCACTGGTACAATTGGTTATAATAATAATTGTTTCCATTAAACCAATCGCGTTCTCTTGATAAAAGTAGGTCACTACAGGAGTCCCCCGCTAGAATGGGTTTACACTTTCGATAATTAGCGGTTTCGTTCGTGGGACTGATCAGCAAACGTGCGATTGTAGGACGAAAGTGTTGGCAAACAGGAAGCGATCGTTGAACCTCGAGCTGCCAAAAAAGGTCTTTTACGTAGTACGGTACCAAGAGAAACGTGATGTATTTGCTGCTCGAGTTAGCTTACCACAACAGGGTGGTTCGTATCCAGGACCTGAGGATTGCGTTCGTAGTAGTGCGGACCAGAAAACGCTGCAGACATAGGACGGAACCACGTTGGGCCAAGGGACCAGATCATAGATCAAATTCTGAAATGACCTACATTCTAACATGTGTGCCATGTTCTGATGTTAGATGGTTTAAGTTAGACAAAAATAAAACTTAAACATAGGTTTCAAGCTAGTTAGCCTGTATCATTGAGTCAGACCATCACGATTTGTTATTCCAACACAAATTTGGGTGAACAGATCTAAAATGCTACCTAAACGATCTAAAAATTTCATGTATGGAGTTTTCTTTCCTTGAAGTAACTACTTAGAACAAGTACACGTAGGATCAGAGTAATATCAAACATTTACTATGAAGCGTCTCAGTTGATTTCTTTCCTAATAGAAAGCCAGTGTCATCATTCTAACTCACCTTCTCACCTTCCCCTTCTGGAGGACTTAAGTCACGCCATTCTTCAATTACATTGCATAAATCTACAGTACTCAATGGTACTTTGATTTGTCCAATCTGATCATGTTTAGAAAATCGATCGAAATCATAAACAGTAAACGAAATCGTTTTTGAACTGATTTCAGCATAGGGAATCTACGAAGAAATCAAATGACAAAATATTAGTTTCAGTTCATGTCGTCTAGCTTGAATGTATGCAAAATCATCTGAACAATGGTAACTGAGAAATTATTGTGGCTGGTATATACTGAATGAAGTTGATCATACGCCTATTGACTAGTTCGGGTCACAATTTTTGTACATTAGAACTCAATTTGGTAGCTAAACATTTTTACTCATTCCAGTTTTCCCATATTGATATAACACAGAAAGTGTATATTGTAAGCGAATTAAAGCTCAGAATACAACACACATACTGATAAGCAATTGTCAGTAGTACAACCATAGTTATGAGGTGATTTCCCTAACTACCACACTAGATGATATGAGTTCGAATATATGAGGATAGTCTCACTTGTTTAAAAAAATGGGACATTCACATTGCTGATGAATTTATGCACTATAAAATTAAGGTGATTGGTTTTAACGACAGATCTTACTCGTCCACTTGTTGTAATATCGAGGTTTCTTTCGGCGTTCTATCTCACTTAAAGTTGAGTGGGCCAACCTTTCATTCAACATACATCTCGTCAATTCATTTTGATAACCTTATTTCTAACTAGCTATCTTCTCAATTATTATAATCTTTATGCATCTTTATATACCAGTCAACTGTTTTGATGAACACTGACTGAGTGAGTGCTTGATATTTCCCTAGTGGATTGGTAATCTCGATCTATATTCATGGGATTCATGATTGCGAGTTGATTTACGTGCTATGCTTTATGAAACTATATAAAATTCTTAGAATTTATTCGAACCACAGTTCTGTTCGTAGTTGTCAACATTGATTAATATAATTGACAGTACATTGTTTATATCTGTGGTGCGTGCTACTTATATTGATATAAGTAGTATATAACGTGAGTCAAAAGAACGTAATGGCTGGCAGCAGAAGATGGAGAAGATCAAGAAAAGAAGAGCGAGAAAACAATGGAATTTGTAAGAAATCGCATGAGCAATGAAATGCGAGACAATGGATTGATGTTTGCAACAGCAACAGCCCGGTTTGATATGATAGAATGATATTTTGCAAATTAACCATTTACTATATGGTTTTTCTATTTTACCAAGTAATTCTGTAATTTGTCCTAAATACAATTTGGCTGTCCTCACCAGTGTTCTTCTCCACTACAATATCCATTGATAACCAATGTCTATGTATCTGTATATCAACGAAGTATCCATCTTGAACATTGCAGTACTTCTTGAGGATTACATGAGTTGTTTTGTATTTATTCGCTATTAAGCCTTTCGCTTTTCAAAAACTGGTACAAATTTTTGGTTTTTTCAGTAATGCTGATTCCAAAGTGAATTCTGTCACGTATTTCATATGGTGAAGAAAGATCTTGTTTCAGCCTGTTAATTGTATGATGGTTCGCCTATTCGCTAAAATCCATTTTATGATTTTGTTCCAGTAGACATTCGTACACGTGATAGATACGAAATGAGTCACCTTAACCTTTTGTAGATTGAAAACGATACAATGAGTTTTGGTTGACGTGTAACGCATCGTTCACAAACCTCATCTTATGAACCGTTTGATTTATTGCTGTTGTAACTTGATATTTGGTCAGTATGATCAACCTTTCTGCATACTTGAATTTTCACTCTCCTTCCTGAATAAAGCATTCTTCCCCCACATATTTGATAATGTGTAAATAATAAATATTTCTAAGGTTATCACATCTGAGGATAATAAATACATTAAATCTTTGACGCATTTAAGTCTTTGGTTCGTTTATACAACTCGATGCAACAATGTTTGCAAGCAATTATATCACTCTGTTGTTGTTGTCAAACACAGCAACGGATCAGTCTCTTTTACCATCTGAACGTTCTAAGCTTTTGACTTCATAATACAAGTTTGAACAAGTCTAAACTCAGTAGCTAAGTGCAGATCGAATACTATCGACCATATAGCAATGTGGCCACCAGTCTAGGTGACTCGACACTGAGTGCATTATATGTTGAGATTAGATGGTTGTTGGAGGTAGTCGACAGGAAACCCTGAACACGGGTTTCGTGTTACTTGGCGCTCGTCAGCAAGACGTACCTGTAATCTTGAGGGAACTGGTGCTCCCTGACGGATTCGACCCCATGTCACCCAGTTTCACAGTCAGAGACGTAACCACCTAGACTGGTGGCCACATTGCAACATGGTCGATAGCATACGATCTGCACTGAATAAGGAATTGACACACATGACATTGATCACCATCCAGTGATCAATCAATTGTGAGTGTCTAAGTAAACACGTAGTTTGACATTCCATGATGGAAGTCTTACTGTATTCATCAGCATTAGGATTCAATTGTGTCCAGCTAATGAGTCTTAAATAGGATGAAACGTACTTCCCGTATTCTAATATAAGTGACTTGACAACCCGAAAAATTTGATATTTATGACTCATTTGTATATATAAATTGCAAGACTGAAGTACATGGGCTAGCGTCCCCAAATGCCCTGGTACGACCGAGAGTGGAGAGTGTCCGCTCTCCCTCCAAATGCTCTCGCATGGCCACGCGTATATAGCCTCTGCCAGGGAAGTCCTACTCAATCTGTATTCAATTAAAGTAAAATAGTTGATCTTACTTACTTTGAAAATAAATGTTTCATTAAATACAGGATTTAAAATTTTCCGATGTACTTTTGTTTCATATTTTTTCTTTTTATCCGGTAATAAAGTAACTTTTACATAAGGATCAGAAGTACCACACATATCCATAGCTGGTAAATCATTAGCTTGAATTACACCAACCGTTAACTGAATAATGTAAAAAAAAACATTGAATTATAGTCATTAATGGTAAATTAATAATTTGATTTTGAATTCATGAGTCGAATAAGGCTAGACGACAATTTGTTCGTAGTATGGAACTCCTCAGCAATGCACATCGACGGTCATGCGCATGGGGTTCCAATCCAGGACTTAAGGTCTTGTACGGAAACGTTTAGTCTATAAGCCATTGAGCTTGTATCAAACAGTGTTAATATCTAACTTTAACCATTCCACGATATTGTGCGACCGTCCACTATTGTCTTCAATGATTAAGTGCCTCATAACAGACATGGTTTGACTACACTGATCGTGTCTACTCACTAGAACTCCAGTCACTAATGAGCACAACATGACAGTTATTGTCGGAATGACAGTTTGTAGAAATTGTAGTAATTTACCCATGGAATTGAATTGTAAAAAAATTGTATAACATTATCAAGAATGGACTTGAACCATGTTTGATTTTATACAAAAATTCAATAAGTAATTGATCTAGTCAAGTGTCTTCGATGAACAAGTAAGTTTAGGCCTATATATTGTTTTTATTTTAACACACAGATATCGATACAAGGAAGCATCAAATACATATGCGACACACAGATTTCATTTGATATGTTTGAGGGCTGTGATACTGCCCGGGTGCCCAAACCGAAGCAGGTGGTTTCATTAGGGGGCCACACCCGGAGGCTTCGACCTTAAGGTCTGATCCACAAGGCAGTGGAGCAACGTAAGGAGATGCATTTCCATGGTAGCCGGTGAACAACGATAGGTTCATACGCCATTTGTTCCTTTAGGATACTGGAACCCATGTGCACCATTGGTTTGGAATGACGGTTTTCCAACTCCCCTAGGTGGACTCTCCATGTCTACCAACCCGGTTAAAGTGCCAGACATTCGCTTTTCGTCCTCTCAATTTCGTAAGCAACAGTAATGCCACGAGAAGGCAGTGAGTAGGAATTCACTGTCAGAGGCTATTTACGCGTGGCCATGTGAGAGCATTTCGAGAGGAAGAACGGACTCTCCTCACTCTCGGCCGTACCAGGGCATGTTCAATAAGTGTACTTTATTCACCGCTTCTTATGTTTATGTTTATTTAGTAAGTGAGTATTCAGTAAAACAGTGGCATGTTCATTTAAATATTTTAATTTAATCGTCTGAAGTTTTCCATAACCTCTTTGTGTCAATCACCATTTTAAGCCCACACAACTTATTCTCGCTTCTGGACAGGAAAATTTATCCATTCTTCTCGAATCACATTTTTTGACCTTGTGAATTATTCGCTTATCAAACTTGACTTCTTATTCTATTCATTACATGTCTATAACTTATATCTATCTGACTTTAAATATTGATTCGCGCTTGATTAAATCAAGTTGATTCACTAGCCTTCACTACTGAACGTCATTTTTCTTTTGGTGAGTGATCGTCAGCTAGAATCTGGTAATCCAGGAACCGACATCTGAATTATGTACACTGTTTCCGCTACCAATTGTCACCAATCACGATGTCTGTGATTATGCATTTTTGTAACTCGTGCAGCGGAAGACTTTTCATAAACACACCTTAAGAGGTTGTGCGATTAATAAACAATGATTTGTTGAAACAAGCGGAAACGAACAACTTATTGAGATATATAAAGGACAGAAGCAGGTAGACCAAATGTTCAACAGCCTATTCATGTAATTTTGCTTCGTTTAAGAAACATATGATGTCAAATAAATTCGACATATTTGTCAACAAAATTAGATGATCATTCTGGTCACCCACCATTTTTTGGTAATTAAAAAGGTCTATTAACATTCTTCGAAATGCACTGTCTGAAGTCACTGTTGGCTTTTTTGTTTACTCGAGTAGACAATAATACTGAAATAGGTCGCATTTACTTCATAAATATTCTATTGACTGTTAGTGTCAACAGGAAATAAGAATTCGAATACGAAAGTAATCTTAATGATTGAATTCGTGAGTCGGTCTAGACAAGGTCACCTTTTTCAACTTGAAAGAACTGGACGACCGTTTCATCTTTGTACACGACTCCTCAGCAGTGCTCACCAACGATGCCAAACGTGGGGCTCTGATCCAGGAGCTTCGGTTTCGTGTGCGAACGCTCAACCTTTAGATCCGTGAGCCGACATTTAACGGTGTCAATGTCTAACTTCAATTGATCCACGTGTTTTGGGATAGCATAACTTAAACGTATGTTTATGAAGTCAGACGACAACAAACATAGGAAAAAAACGGCATCACAGCTAACTCATTTTAACTAAGACTGGTTGAAGATTTATAATCAGTAAACGAGCTAACGGTAGACAATTCATAGAGTAAACAATGAGTATGTAAACATTCAAAATTAAAGGTGAAAAAAAGAAGGCAAATATATAGAGATGTAAATAATAATCTAAAAGATTAAAATGACTTGTCTGTCCATAAGCTGGTATAATTTAGCTGAGAGTGTATAATGGTTTTTTACATACTTTTCATGACTCCGCCTGGAGTCCCTCCGAGGGCTACTGCCGGTCTCAAGTCCGGATAAAAGGGGAAAGTTGGGCATGAGGTTAGCGACCCCATCCAGTAGAAAAATAACTCGCTAAAAAAACGCTAACTAGAAAAAATTATTCAAACCTTTTAAACTCTGCTCTGGGAGCCAGAAGGTCTTCATTTAGAAGAGTTATGACGCCTCATGATGAAATCCGAGTTCCTTCGGAAGTCACGAGACCGATGCCTCTTCTGACAACCAGAGCAACCATTTATTTAGGTACAGGGAATACTCGTACAATGTGGGAGACCGAGAGAGTCTTCCAAATCATCACTTTTATGAAATTCTTAAGAGTTTTTGCTCAATTTGCATAAGAATGTCATAGTTTCTATGTTCATTGCTCACACTATGCATATTTATGTACATACACTCAATCGAAATTATATAAACATAAAGTTTTACTCATACCTCAGCTTTTTGAAAATCATAATCTAATGAAAATTGTAATTTTCCAAAATATTGTTTCTCCTTTTCATGATCACCCGCTTGTTCTTGTTCATTCATTTCCATGTCGGTTTTCAATGCAACCTTATCCTGATTGTGAAATAAAAGACATTTCAATATACACTTCACTTTAACAAGAATATAAAGAGTAGTTGCAAGATAAAGAATACTGGCAAGTGTATCAAAACAGTCCGTTTTATGCCCGGTTACTACAATTGTAGATATAGTTCAGATTAGCAACCAATGACTGTGAACTACTGTTGTTGACAACTTTCCTAGTTCTGTAAATCCGTCTTACTTGTAACTCGTCATTTGGATGTACCTGCAGCGGAACAACACATTGATCAACTGCAGTCCTAAACATCACTGGGAAGACACAAGCAAGTAACACCAATAGAATTTACACTTCACCCCAATGCACAAAGGGGTTACTATCAGCACTCAGTAGCTAAGTGGATAACGCGATGGCGTTTGGAACGAACGATACTGGGATCGAGTCCCATTGTGAGCATGAATTCTGAGATGCATGCACATCCAGATGACGAGTCCCAAATAGGATGAGACGCGCATCGTGTATTCTATTGCTGACCACGACCCATCTTTTCTATAGTTCTGTATTCATTATCAGTTTATCATGTAACTTTGTATATATCTATCATAAATCTGCACACCAACCACTTTAATAGACATTTCAACACTATTCACATAAAGTACACAAATCATTAACAATTTTTTGACAACAGTCAAACTTAACCACTCGAGCTCCCAAGTTTGGGGAAATTTTGGGGGAATCCCCAAAGTCAAATGAGCTTGACCAAGGTTAAAGAGGAATTTTGGCGAAACATTGGGGAATTTCCCCAGGTCTGGGGAAATTTTGGGGTTTTAGTGCCATTTCCACTAAATTTCCTCAAAGTTTACTATAGCGGCTTTCCCGAAATTTCCTTAAAATGAGTCAGATTTTCCCAAAATTGGGAGGTCGGGCTGGAATATATAGGTAAGAATTCATGTATTTATGTTTGTCCATCATAGCAGTGAGTTACTTCAGGATGATGATTTATGATTTTTGCCAAGTCTCACTTTTGGGGAAAATTCGACTCATTTCGAGGAAGCCGCTTTAAGGAAATGGTACAAAAACCCCAAAATTTCCCCAGACCTGGGAAAATTTCCCAATATTTCCCCAAAATTCCTCTTTAACCTTTGTCAAGGTCATTTGACTTTGGGGATTACCCCAAGGTTTCCCCCAACATTGGTGAAGGTCATTTGACTTCAAGAGTTTCCCCAAACTTGGGAGTTCGGGTCGAACACACAGTCAACTTGCTCGGATTTTTATTATCGTTATAAAAGATTTATTCGTCAATCATATTATCGTACTAAAAAGAAGATTAGATGGAACATTTAAATGAAATATACATAGAAATTAACCACATAAACTCCGTAATAAACACCGCCCCGAGCTCCAAAGTTTGGGGGAATTTCGGAGAATTTTCGGGTATTTTGGGGAAACTTCCGAAGTCAAATGACCTTCACCAGTGTTTGAGGAAATTTTGGGGAAATATTGGGGAATTTCTCCAGGTCTGGGGAAGTTCACTTTAGCGGCTTCCACAAAATTTCCCCGAAATTGGGAGCTCGAGGAGTGTTTCATTCTGATATATTGCAAGAAAAAGACCTAGTAGTGATGTTATGATTACATAACCCGATTACCGATAGTAATCATAGTTTCAATAAAAGTGGACATTCATCGTACACTTGAAAGTTAACTCTTTTATGGTTGTCACAGTGATTGCCCGTACATGCGTTTCTACAATCTTGGTTTGCTGATTGCAGTTCTTTCATCACTTCATACAATGCACATTTGTTTCATCACAGTTTTATTTATCTACAACAATTACCTATGAACACTTATTTGGCTTTCTAGATGAATAAGTCAATTTTCATTTATATTCGATTAACAGACTAAACAGTTTCAAGAGTAAGAAGCAGTCTTCATTATTGGATTATGATGTGTTATATGTACTGAGAAGTGACAACCGACAGCTACCGGGTCAAACTTATACAGTCTCAAACAGTAGTAACATATGGTACTAATGACTCCACAACCATAATCCAAAGTAATTCTAGTTGAAATAATACTACCAACTGTTGACCTATTAGTTTTAGTAGTTAAACCTCTGCATTTAGAACTGAAGGTTCTGGGTACTATTCCTGGAAGAGTGGTAATTGTCTATTATTGAAGAATCTCTTACTAGAACAAAACGGCTTTCTGTTACTATCTGCTTCTCAACGGTATCGTAAACTAACACTAATCAGGGGAGAATGCAGCCTACAAGTATATCATTTATTAATCATGAAAAAGGTTAAACATAAAATAAGAGTCAAACCTACTTGACTTTTTAATGCTTCTGATAAATGAGCTGCTGTTTTTAAATCCGCTGCTAATTTTCCACCAGCTAATGACATTTTTTTACCATCTTTTTTTGATCGACGTTTTTTCAATAAACAACGTTTACAAAACCAAATTAGCAATAATAAACCAAAAGTGACCCCCAGTATAGAAAGACTGACGATACCACCATAGGACACTTGAATTTAGATAAAATATGAATGATACATTATATAATGAAAAACAATCAGTGAATGGACAAATGTTGTTAAAAATCGATTATATATATATATCAGAAGTTCCAGTTCGTTAGTACTGTGGTGTATGCTACTTACATTACCATAAATAGTAGATGATGTTAGGCGTGAACAGAAGATCTGACAGCAGATAGACAAGAGGATCGAACAGTAAACAATGGAAACAGAATACAATTTGTATGGACAATGCAAGAACAATGAAGTCTGAGTCATTTTGAGACAATTAGTGGACATTTTGCAAATTAAGCATTTACTACTTGATTGTTAGATGTTATTAACAAGTCCTGTAATTTTGTGCTTAAATACATTCGATTGTCCCCATCCATGTTCTGTTCACTACAGTACTAGAGCATGTTTCATGAATGAAATATAAGATTCATACATAATATTCATTGACATTATAAACAAATTTTAATGTTAAACTAAATGGATTTTGTATATCTGTTAGGTTCAGAATGAATGTTTCGTCTTATTTGGACTCTGTCAATTGGATGTAACTGTATCCCAGTATTGATATTCATTGTGAGAATCGAATACATTACTGACCTTTTTTCAAACTTCAACAAGTTCTACACTAATTTACTGTATCTCAATCATGTGTCTAAGTTTGATGAAAGCCCACAGACGCAAGAAATTTCAGAATTCATTTTTATTTTCGAAAGATGTTTGTACTGTTTATAGTTTCTTGATAAATAAAACATCACATTTAAATCATGAGCTAATCAGCTTTAAATCTGGAAGCACTGAGCAGCTTTTTCATCATAGTGTGGAACTCATCAGCTATGACCACTGGAATACAACCATATGACGTATGAGGCAGTTACCGACTAGAGACATTAAAAGATGTTTACACAATGTCTTGTATTGATTGAGGTTCAACGTTAATAACTTTGTATGGAGACTCACTTGTTAAGAGACTAGGAGTTCACGTGCGAGACTGAAATCCCTAGTCGCAGAATCATAGATTCAAGCTACCAAAGAGTCCTATACTTAGACCAATCGATCGTGTGATTCTTACAGGCTTTTAATGGTGGTCTAATATTGATCCGCATTATGAGTACTGATGAAATTTAGCCACTTACACTAACTACTATAACATACAAACTAAGTCTAATTACATACATCAACATAATGAAGTATATATCCTTAAGTATGTAGTCCTTGAAAGAATCCTGAAATAGGATAAAACACATATATCCCAACTTTTCACTTCTCACTACTATCATAAAAAAAAACTAGTCACAAATAATCAATAAATCAATGAATTCTTTTCCTCTCTCTCTCTCTCATCAACTAAACAGCTTAATTATTGTTGTTATTTATTTGAAGAAAAATTTATTTCACCTCAATTTTTCATGCATAAACTCATGGTAGACACCATAGAAGAAAAAAATAAATCGTTGATATTAGTACAAGAAAACAAAAGAGAGTAAATGGGTGAGACAGGGTCAAAGCGAAAGAGAGAAAGAGAAAGGGGAAGAGAGAGAAGGAAAGATAAATGGAGAGAGAGGGAAAGGAAAAGAGAGAAAGAGAGAAAGATTAAAGTAAAGTGAGAGGGAGGGAAAGAGCGAGAGTGAGTGTGAGAGAGAGAGAGAGAGGGAATGAGAGATAATGCCATGAAATGTAAACAAATTATCTAAAGAAGAAAATGTGTTATAGAAAATGTTTGTTCTTTTATTTTAATAAAGAAAAATATAAACAAAATGGGCAAAAACAATTTTTTGATGATAAATAAAAAGTGATAAAGAGAGAATATTGAACGGTTATTGAATATTGAATGAATGAATGAATGAGTTGATGTTTACTAAGCAATTTATAATATTATGGAAATGATTCTTATATGATAGAATCTCCACAAAACCCCTCCTGATAATAATCATCTCCTCTATAGTGACTGACTTCAAGAGATACTTCTACAGTTCTAGTGAGAAGCCGTTACCTGTGGAGTTCAACCAGGTCTGTTGTGAGATATCAACTCACTGATGACAATGGTGTACGGTGACGCTGTAGTGACCAGAACACGGGTAGGGACAATTCAATCGGTAAAATAGAAAAGCCATATAGTAATTCGTTAATCTGCAAAATATCAATACATCATATGAAACCGGACTGTTCCTGTTGTAATCATCAATCCATTGTCTCATATTTCATTGTTCATGCGTTTTTTTACAAATTGCATTGTGTTGTCGCTCTTCGTTTCTTGATCTTCCCCCATCTTCTGCTGCCAGACAATACATTTCTTGACTCACGTTATATACTACTTATGTCAATATAAGTAGCACGCACCACAGAGGAACTTCGTGGATTGGTTGAAGTTAGACATTAACACCGTTGGATGCCAGCTCAATGGTCTAGTTGGTGAAGCGCCTGGCGCGAAACTGATGGGTCCTGAGGTTTGAATTTCGCGGGGTGTTGAATCATGGATGCGTACTGCTGAGGAGTCCCATACTAGAACGAAACGGTCGTCCAGTGCTTTCAGGTTTTCCACAGTGGTCTAGCTTCATTTGACTCATGATTTCAATCAAAAACTTTATCAAACTAGAGTACCGAAAAACAACTGATTAACATAAAACTAATGCATCTATTACGAAATGTATAAGTTCCAAGTACAATCTACAAATAGGGTATTGAATGTAAATGAATAGGAAGTCTCAAAAGGTGTACTTAATGCTTCTTAATATTTCTATGGTTGTTAAACTAAGATCAATCGATGTAATAACAACAAGATATAAACATCATTAAAGAGTTATAAAAAAGCCAAGAAAAAATGTAAATTTACATCGTTTATGTTCAGTTCTTTCAGCTGGATGTTTTATTAATAGTTGTTGATGTTTCAATGTAGCTTGTCCAGTTTTTGTATGAGTTATATCAACTGATGCTGAGAATGATCTATAAACTTGGTGTGTTTCACTATCTTCTATACGTGATATATATGGTGTTGATAATGATGTTGATAATGATGTCCATGAATTCATATGAAATTCTGTTATTTTCTTAGAATTTACATTGATAGTAGAATGTGTAGTGATTGTTCTTAAATCCTCTTTATGATAATCTACTGTAATATTATAAGTAGTATCATTCATGATGGTTATATATTATCTGTTATATTGATCATTATTATTGTTGTATTCACTATCTCAATATCATTGATCATTGATTCAATCGTTGAATAGTTGACACTATGAGTTGTACTATTTAAAACAGTTTCATTATGAACATGTTCAATGTTCAATTGTTGATTATTCATTGAATCATTGAAATCATGATGATCGATTGAAATATTCAAAGATGTTAAAGAATCATTGAATAAAAGTTTCATGATTATGGATAGAAATGGAAATTATTCTGAATGGTTCTCTTTTCTTTTTTTGTTTTTTTTTCTTGTATTTTACAAATCATTCACTGTTTTCAATATCTAGAACAAAAATAAATCATCACAAGACATTAATACATTATTGTTCCCCCTTGTTCATAGTTTACTAACATTATGTAACTATCATTGTAAACATAACGATACACTTTCATAACAGTTATGGTCTGTTTATTAGTTGATAACTTTAAGAATAGGTCTCAATATACACAAAGGGAAAAGCAGGATTCTCCGATACAACACAGAATGCACCAATCCAATCACAATTGACGGAGAAGATTTGGAAGATGTAAAAACCTTTACGTATTTGGGCAGCATCATTGATGAACACGGTGGATCTGATGCAGATGTGAAGGCACGGATCGGCAAAGCAAGAGCAGCATATTTACAACTGAGGAACATCTGCAACTCAAAGCAACTGTCAACCAACACCAAGTTCAGGATTTTCAATACAAATGTCAAGACCGTTCTACTGTATGGGGCAGAAACCTTGAGAACTACGAAAGTCATCATCCAGAAAATACTTGGGATCCGTTGGCCGGACAATATTAGCAACAACCTACTGTAGGAGAGAACAAACCAGATCCCAGTGGAAGAAGAAATCAGGAAGAAGCGCTGGAAGTGGATAGGACACACATTGAGGAAAGCACCCAACTGTGTCACAAGACAAGCCCTCACATGGAATCCTGAAGGTCAAAGGAAAAGAGGAAGACCAAAGAACACATTACGCCGGGAAATGGAGATAGACATGAGAAAAATGAACAAGAATTGGATGGAACTAGAAAAGAAGGCCCAGGATAGAGTGGGTTGGAGAATGCTGGTCAGCGGCCTATGCTCCATTGGAAGTAACAGGCGTAAGTAAGTAAGTAAGTAAGTAACTTTAGGAATCGATTTGTAGAGTCCAAGTAAAGTTTGACCATTGTCGGATATGAATCAAGGAAAAGATGATGATTATGTAAAAGATTAAATGAATTGATGCTAAAAATAGTGAAACACTAGACGTCTATGTGTTAAAGGTTCGACCCCTGGTAGTGTTATGCATATGAACAAAAGAGCTGTATGAAATTAAGACGAAATATCTATCTTATACTAACTGATTTTCAACTGTTGTCTATACAAAGTTATTTCGTGATATGAAATTTTGAATGAAAAAAAAGCTCTATTTAGAATGATGAGTTCTAAACTAGCGTTAATGTTGTGATTGCATATACCTTTCTGATATTCAATTACATAATCACAAATGTAATGCAGCATTCATGTACATGTAACGAATAAGAAATAAAGACATGAATGGATAATTGATTAATTCAATACTTCAACTAACTCCTCCTGGAGTCCCTCCTGACTCTACTGACGGTCCGAAATCCGGATAAAGGAGGAGGGTTGGGCATGGGGTTAACGAACTCATCCCGTAGAAAACTAACTCGCTAAAAAAACGTTAACCATTACATTAAATTATTCTCAATCGAACTGCCTCATGTTTTTCTGGTTTGATTGTTTTCAATGTTTCATTGGAAACAATGAATCATAGCTGTTTTTTTCTATTTCAACATGTAATAATACTTGCAAAGTAAGTGTTTTATTGAAAAAGAAAAGAAAAGAAAACATTTATGAATGTACAAATACAATATCTTATTTACTCGAACCTAGGTACATCCAGCTGACGAGTCCCAACTAGGACGAAACGTGCGTCAAACTGGATTCCACTGATAGCCACTATCCATCATTGCTTACAAATAGTTTGTGAATTAAGGCAATATCGAGTCGTAAGCACAGTATGCACATATGCCAATAACAGACTGATCAATTGCAGTCTTAAAACCTCAATGGGAAGATACAAGCCAAACAATACCAAGTGAATTTAAATTCACCCCATTGCACAAACAAGTGGCTATCAGGACTCAGTAGCTGAGTGGATAACGTGATGGCGTTTGAAGCGAATGATACTGGGTTCGAGTCCCAGAGTGAACATCAACTCTGAGATGCACGTACATCCAGCTGACGAGTCCACTGGTAGTCAGTATCCATCACTGCTTATAAAATATTTATAGTAGTTTCTGACTAGAAATATTTGTGACACATTTATGTTTGCAGAAAAGTATTAAAATTTGGCCCTCAAATCCCCTGGTACAGCCGAAGGTGTGGAGAATCAGTTCTCCCTCTTAGAATGCTCTTACATGTCCACCCATACACATCAATTACCAAAGAAATCCTACTCACTGCCTTCTCGTATCCAGAGTGTTGTTTGCGAAATCAAGACGACGGAAAGCGAATGTTCTGTACTTTAACTGACTCGGTGGACCCTCCATGTTTACCTTGGAGAGCCGGAAAATCCTGATTCTAAACTGATGATGTATATAGGTCCCAGAATCCTGAGGGAACAGAAGGTGTATGATTTCATCGTTAGTCACTGGCTAACATGTGAAGATATCTACTCACGTTGCACCACTGTCTTCCGAATCAGACTTTTAAGTCGCAGGCCTTTTAAGAAAACCTTCTGCTTCCGCCTGGCACCCGAGCAGTATCACAATCACATTCAAATCAAGTGACTTGTGTAAGGCATATTTATTCGGCGCCGCTTTTGTCCAATATTTATATGTTCGAATAAAATAAGTTTTTGAGGTTTTAAAGAAATCCTGATTTACAAATACTCTGCGATACAAAATCTATTTGAAATTGAGGTTGACTTCAATTATTTTACGTCAAAAGATATTCCCTTAGCCCCCAAACGCCCTGGTATGGCCGAGAGCGGGGTGGGTTCGCCCTCCCTCTCGAAATACTCTCAGCCCGGACCTGGGGGTTTTAAGAAACGTAGGGAAGTTGCTGTAGGGCCCAAAAAAAAACAAGACATAGAAATCCGTTTCACACTCCTCTCTTTTGACGATAAGTCAATGTAGTTAAGAAATGAATGGATTAAGATAAAATAATTAGTATAAAAAGAGTTTTGTGGCGATTATAGTAATTTCAAAAGTTGAGATCATGAATCAATTAAAGGTACACCACCATGACTGAGCACTTCTGAGGAGTCCCATAATGGGACGAAACAGCCGTTCAGTTCTTCCAGATTTTCCATGGTGATCTAGCATCAATTAACCCATGAACTCAATTATTGACAAAATATTTACTCTGTGCATTTTCATTCTAATGAATATTTTCGTTAAATGTTATTTTATTCAACGTTTCACATACAGAACTTATTAGTACATACTCATCAGAGTCATACTATGATTGGAATTATCCAACTGGAAACTCTAATACCTCAGATGACTAATTGATTGATCGACATAAATCATCAGTAAAGGATTAAAGAAGTTTCGATAATGTAATAAGAAGATGAAGATGATCAGAACTATATGATGATAGATTAGCGCAATACACGTCGAACAAACTGATCACACCTAATATACTTGTTAAGAACATGTATATAGAAAAGCTAAAAGGTCAACTAGACTAGAAATGAATGATAAGAGGAGACAAGGCTAATACTAAGTGTATTAATGATAATGGGAAAACAATTTGAAAAATAATCACTCTGGATAATCAGTCAATATTACCAGGGTAGGTTTGTGGGGAGAACAAACTGTTTTTGAATACAAGATTTTAATCGCCAAGAAATTCCCATTTTATTAATGAATGAAGAATATTCGTTTCAATGAATTTCTCATCAGTTTCTACAATAATAAATCCAAATTAATAATCCATAAAATTGGCCAGATTTAAGGCAGAGAGCACATCATTTAGAAATTGTAATATGTGATAATAATCAACTGCTCACTAGTGACTGACTTCAGGAAAATACTCCTAGAGTTCTAGTAAGAAGCCGTTACCAGTAGAGTTCAATCAGGTCTGTTGTGAGATATCAACCCACTGAAGACAATGGTGTAAGGTGGTGCAACTTCGTGGATTGGTTGAAGTTAGACATTAACACCGTTGAATGCAGGCTCAGTGGCCTAATGGTAAAGTGCTCGTGCGCGAAGCCAGTAAGTCCTGGGTTCGAATCTCGTGGGTGCGAGGTCGTGGATGCGTACTCCTGAGGAGTCCCATACTAGAACGAAACGGCCGTTCAGTGCTTCCAGGTTTTCCATGATGGTCTAGCTTCAATTGACTCATGATCTCAACCTGTGAAATTTCTAAAATGCTATTCACTTAATAAAATTGACACATTAAATAATGACTTGACAGAGATAGAAGTAAACATTGCTCGCAGAAGATTTTCAGTAGACGAATTAACAGAAGACCTTAAGTCCTAGTTTATGGAGTACGTCACAAAAATAACTAGGGAACGTTCATACAAGAAACATATTCAACTTCTCAACCTGTTGAAAATAAATTTCTAACTGAACCAAAAAGGTATGTGCACAAATTTTCTGGTACTGAATTAAATAAAGAAAAACTTGAAGTATTAGCACTTGGTCTAAAATTCTGTGATACACGAAACCGCGTAAATCAAATCGATACGGACATTCAATTTGAAAACTTAGATCGTCAAACATCAGATCTAGTCCCGACCTCGGATCAGGAAGTTGAACGTTTGAAATCAAAGCTAGTTAACTGCTGCTATCAGTTTAAGAATAGTAGATATAACTACAGAAGTATTTTAACTAAGAAACACATGGAGGCTATCAATGAACTCATTAGTGACGAGAAACTGATTATCACAAAACTCGATAAAGGAACAGGAACTGTCTTATTTAACAAAAATGGTTACATTGATAAGATGAATAACATCTTGAATGATCTTCAAAAATTTCAGAAACTGAATAACCAAAAAGATGTTAATAATAAGATAGAGAATGAACTGACCAGATCTTTAAAAAAAGCTCAGAGACCAACAGATGATTCCAAAAGACGTAAACGAAACAATTAGGCCGATAGGTACACAGTTACCTAGGTTATACGGACTGCCAAAGATACATAAACCGGATATCCCATTAAGGCCAATTTTGGACATGTACGATTCCCCATATCATACTGTAGCAAGGTGGTTAGTAACCGTTTTGAAACACCTCCATAATCGCCTAGCATTAAGGACGTATTCCAGTTCATTGACAAGATTAAAAACGTAAACACGAAAGATCAGACGATAATGTCATTTGACGTAGCATCACTGTTCACAAATGTCCCACTCAGAGAAACTGTAGAATATATTTGTGAACAACTTAGAGAGCAGGAACTGGAAACAACAATCCCTGTGGAGATCATCAAAGAATAATTACTAAAATGTACTATGAATGTACATTTCAAATTCAATGGTGAAATCTACAGACAAATAGATGGTGTCGCGATGGGTTCAGCCCTGAGTCCCATATTGGCAGACATTTTCCTTTCCAAACTAGAAAACGGCATACTAGCACAAGAGATCGATAAGTTTTCGTTTTACTCTCGATATATGGATGATACATTTGTCCTTTACAACAGCCAGACGGACTTCCTAGAAACATTCAATCATTTCAATACAGTTCGCCCGTCCATAAAATCCACATGGGAAAAGGAAAATGGAGGTAGAATAGCCTTTCTAGATGTTCTACTTACAAGGACGGGTCGCTAAAAAGAAACATAAACAGGAAAATTACCTGGACGGGTCAGTATACTAACTTTCTTAGTTTCGTTCCTCTACAGTAGAAAAGGAACCTTATTAAGACACTACATCATAGAATCAAAACTACATGCACTGTGGATACGATTGAAGATGAAACAAAGTCAGTATGCATAACCCTGAAGAAAAATGGATATCCTGGGAAATTTATAAATAAAAACAGCCAATAAAAGACAGTGTAGAGAATGTCTAGCGGTAGATAAAAAGCCTCTTTATATACGCTTACGATTCAGAGGCGACGCACTGAGCGAAATGCTAAGACTTGAGTTAAGCAGATCAATTCAAAGGACTTTTAATGCGGCTAAACTACAACTAGTATTCTCCACACGACCAATAATCACTCCGAGGTTGAAAGATAAATTACATAGACTAGCCACCTCCTTCTGTATTTATCAATTCAATTGCTCCTGTTGAGCAATTTATATTGGCAGAGGTTCTAGGAATTTGTACATTCGGGCTTGTGAGCACCTCCCTGTGTGGTTAAGCAAAGGTGTAGTCATCTTAGGCCATCTAGTCCAAACAGAACATCCAGCAAACATGGAGCAATCTTTTGCAATAATCTATCGTGTCAATAGCAGTCTACCTAATTCCGTCAGACTGCGAATCCTACAAACGGCTGAAGCAATTTCTATTCGAATCAAAAAGCCAAAGCTTTGTATCCAAAAAGAAGTATGTTCAGCCACTCCTTTTAGCCTTGCCAACTAGTTATTATTCAATTTCATAATATGGTGACGTAATTTTGATCAATCCTCATTTTATGTCCCAAACTTATTATTATTATTATTATTATTATTATTATTATTGTCTTTACACTTGATAACCCCCTTGTTTGAGGAATTTATTCAATATCCACCCTTGAATCCACTAATATTTGACCTAATTATATTATATATTACGTAATTTCCAATTTGTAATCACAATATCCCCCCCTCTCTCTCTCTCTCTCTCTCTTACCCCATGTTGACCATAGTTATTCTGATCATTTTCGACAATGATATTAGAAGACGAAGATAATCAGAACTATGTGATGATAGATTAGCGCAATACATTTCGATCAATCTGATCACACATTACATACTTGTTAAGAGCATTTATATATAAAAATAATAAAAGGTCAACTAGACAGGAAACGGGGTAAGAGGAGATAAGGATAATGATAAGATTAATAATAATAATAATAATGTGAACACAACTCGTAACCTGATCACTCTGGATAATAAGTCCATATTACCAGGGTAGGTTTAAGGTAAGAACAAACTGTTTTTGAACACATAAAGGGGGTTTGAATTTTCGTATGGCTAAGGCTTCAATAAACCTTAGTATACGCCCTTTTATACTTTTATACAACAGCACAAAAGCCGATTTAAGCTTAATCTTATGGCCTGTTACGATTACATGTTTAGCAATAGAGAAGATGATGAATGTTTATCCTCTAGTTTTATTAGGTCATTTGATTCTATTCATTTCTGCAACCATTTGGGTATATGTCCACGCACCCTAATTTTGAGATCACAATTGCTCATCCACACACACACACACAATGAAATTGGTAAACACAGTGGGATACGACATAATCGTTTTCATGTCTTTTAAATTTTGGGTGAAGTATGACCCTTTTACTTTGACCTTTGTTGTACAATGTGTTTTGTTGATTATTGATTTAAGCTTTTGGTAGGATGATGTAGACCGGTATTATTTTTGTTTTTATACCGAGGTTACAGTAGTTCTCATTGTACCATGAACTTACCATATAGTTACGAATTTCAGAGAAGAGACATTTTCCATGAATGTTCTATATATCAACCTAACATTAATAAATAAACTCCTATATCCAATGATCAATAAAATTCACCTACTTTAGTTAATATGAGACTGATAATAACCTTAGCAACAAAATTTGCTTTTCGTTCCCTCTTGCTACACCCCCTTACATTAGTTACTAATTAGGGCGTTGATTAGAAAAAAAAAGTAATCAAACATTCAATCATCCAGACTAATTTATTCATCTTCTAACATGATCAATTTTTTAAACAATAAATTATTCACTGATTGAAATCATGAGTCAATTGAAGCTAGACAATCATGGAAAACCTCGAAGCACTGGAAGACCGTTTCGTCCTATTGTGAGACTCCTCAGCAGTGATCATCCACGATCCCGCATCCCGCGAGATTCGAACCCACAACCTATCATCTCGCGTCAGGCGCTTAACTAACTAGACTACTGAGCCGGCCAGTATCCAAAGGTGTTAATGTCTAACTTCAACCAATCCACGAAACGTCTATCCAATGCTTCCATGATTTACATGATGATCTAACTTCAATTGACTTATGACTTCAACTATTGAAATTATTAAAATCTCCATAAAACCCATTCGAAATATTTTGTACTTTTATTGAATTGTTCAATGTATGCGTTATTATTATTATTAACGTTAGTTATAAAAATTTTTTCCCTATTCAAAAGTTGACCGATAATTGGTATTAATCAACATATGCTCACTAGTGACTAGTTTCAAGATGTATATCCTGAAGTTCTAGTGAGAAACAGTAACCGATGCAGTTCAACCGGGTCAGTTGTAAGCTACTAACTGACTGATGACAATGGTGGATATGTCACTTAATTTCGTGGATTAGTTGAAGTTAAACATTAACGCCGTTAGATGCTAGCTCAGTGTTGTAATGGTTAAATGCTTGGGCGCGAGACTAATAGGTCCTGGGTTCGAACCTAGAGAGGCGAGATCGTGAATACGCCCTACTGATGAATCTCACATTAGGATGAAACAGCCATCCAATGCTTTCAAGTTTTTCATGGTGATCTAGCTTCAATTCACTCATGATCTCTACAATCGTAACATTCTATTAACAACAAGAATCACTTTTGTTTTTGTCTTCGACGTTAGCTGGATTGTCACATCATTCACGTCTAACTCGAGTAAGGGTCCAATCATTTCGACATAGATCATCTACGTTGATGATCTACACTATCATTATAGATAGATTTCCAGTAATATTGAGTTCAATCCATGATCTACTTATGAATATTCAATGTTGAAGAGTTCTTGATAAGACTATACATTTATGAACGACCTTTGAGTGATGCTAGACTAACATTGTAAATGTTCACTTCATAACCAGAATTAAATGAGAGTTATAAACCAGTGTATAAAGAATTAGAATTAGAATTAAAGTAAGACATTTGATGTATGGGAGTTTTCATCACAAACTGATATCAACTATAATGCTATGAATGGATTTAACCAAATTTGGTGAATGAATTTGGCGCCGAAATCGAAGACTTGTGTAGCTTACATCTGATTGATTCGTCCATAAATTATAGTTTCGCTGAATTTTTTTGTTTACTGGAACAAAACAACCGTTCAATGGTTTAATTAAGATCAATCTATAATGTGTAATATTGAAAACTTGTTTTATCTGCTTTAAATAATCTAATTAGCTTAATTCAGTTCAGGTATGTACAAAACAGACTTCTTTTCATGAATTGATTCTATTATTATCTAAGGTAGTAATTATTAATGAAATTTGTTTGTTGAACAGATTAGAAAGGGATTTAGAGGCAGGAATTGAAAAAGAAACCAAAGTAAATAAAACTGTACGACACTTAGGAATTCCTTAATTTTTGGAGTATTGATAGTTGCTATGGTATTAATAGTAGTAGTATTAATAATCGTCGTCGTCGTCGCAGTAGTAGTAGTAGTAGTAGTAGTAGTAGTAGTAGTAGTAGTAGTAGTAGTAGCAGTAGTAGTAGTAGTAGTAGTAGTAGTAGTAGTAGTAGTAGTAGTAGTAGTAGTAGTAGGAGGAGGAGGAGGAGGAGGAGGAGGAGGAGGAGGAGGAGTAGAAGTAGTAGTAGTGTATTGTATGCTACTTATATTGACATAAGTAGTAGATGATGCTAATCGTGAATAGAATGTCTGGCAGCAGATAGACAAGAGGATCGAACAGTAAACAATGGAAACAGAATGGAATTTGTATGAAAATACAAGAACAATGAAGTCTGAGTCATTATGAGACAATTGATGGACATTTTGCAAATTAAGCATTTACGTTATGATTGTTAGATTTTAGTAATAAGTCCTGTAATTTTGTGTTAAATACGTTCGATTGTCCCCACTGGTGTTCGTGTTCACTACAGTAGTAGTACTAGTAGTAGTAGTAGTAGTGTGGTGCGTGCTACTTATATTGATATAAGTAGTATATAGCGCGAGTTGAAAAACGTAATGTCTGGCAGCAGAAGATGAGAGAAGATCAAGAAAGGAAGAGCAATAACACAATGGAATTTGTAAGAAACCGCATGAACAATGAAATGTGAGACAATGGATTGATATTTGCAACAGAAACAGTCCGGTTTTATATGATGAAATGATATTTTGCAAATTAACGATTTACTATATAGTTTTTCTATTTTACCGAGTAACTCTGTAATTTTATGTTTAGATACAATTCAGTTGTCCTTACCTGTGTTCTCCTTCACTACAGTAGTACCAGTAGTTGTATTGGTAGTAGAGTTAGTAGCAGCAGCAGTATTATTATTATTATTACGGTAGTAGTAGTAGTAGTAGTAGTAGTAGTAGTAGTAGTAGTAGTAGTAGTAGTAGTAGTAGTAGTAGTAGTAGTAGTAGTAGTAGTAGTAGTAGTAGTAGTAGTAGTAGTAGTAGTAGTAGTAGTAGTAGTAGTAGTAGTAGTAGTAGTAGTAGTAGTAGTAGTAGTAGTAGTAGTAGTAGTAGTAGTAGTAGTAGTAGTAGTAGTAGTAGTAGTAGTAGTAGTAGTAGTAGTAGTAGTAGTAGTAGTAGTAGTAGTAGTAGTAGTAGTAGTAGTAGTAGTAGTAGTAGTAGTAGTAGTAGTAGTAGTAGTAGTAGTAGTAGTAGTAGTAGTAGTAGTAGTAGTAGTAGTAGTAGTAGTAGTAGTAGTAGTAGTAGTAGTAGTAGTAGTAGTAGTAGTAGTAGTAGTAGTAGTAGTAGTAGTAGTAGTAGTAGTAGTAGTAGTAGTAGTAGTAGTAGTAGTAGTAGTAGTAGTAGTAGTAGTAGTAGTAGTAGTAGTAGTAGTAGTAGTAGTAGTAGTAGTAGTAGTAGTAGTAGTAGTAGTAGTAGTAGTAGTAGTAGTAGTAGTAGTAGTAGTAGTAGTAGTAGTAGTAGTAGTAGTAGTAGTAGTAGTAGTAGTAGTAGTAGTAGTAGTAGTAGTAGTAGTAGTAGTAGTAGTAGTAGTAGTAGTAGTAGTAGTAGTAGTAGTAGTAGTAGTAGTAGTAGTAGTAGTAGTAGTAGTAGTAGTAGTAGTAGTAGTAGTAGTAGTAGTAGTAGTAGTAGTAGTAGTAGTAGTAGTAGTAGTAGTAGTAGTAGTAGTAGTAGTAGTAGTAGTAGTAGTAGTAGTAGTAGTAGTAGTAGTAGTAGTAGTAGTAGTAGTAGTAGTAGTAGTAGTAGTAGTAGTAGTAGTAGTAGTAGTAGTAGTAGTAGTAGTAGTAGTAGTAGTAGTAGTAGTAGTAGTAGTAGTAGTAGTAGTAGTAGTAGTAGTAGTAGTAGTAGTAGTAGTAGTAGTAGTAGTAGTAGTAGTAGTAGTAGTAGTAGTAGTAGTAGTAGTAGTAGTAGTAGTAGTAGTAGTAGTAGTAGTAGTAGTAGTAGTAGTAGTAGTAGTAGTAGTAGTAGTAGTAGTAGTAGTAGTAGTAGTAGTAGTAGTAGTAGTAGTAGTAGTAGTAGTAGTAGTAGTAGTAGTAGTAGTAGTAGTAGTAGTAGTAGTAGTAGTAAGTAGTAGTAGTAGTAGTAGTAGTAGTAGTAGTAGTAGTAGTAGTAGTAGTAGTAGTAGTAGTAGTAGTAGTAGTAGTAGTAGTAGTAGTAGTAGTAGTAGTAGTAGTAGTAGTAGTAGTAGTAGTAGTAGTAGTAGTAGTAGTAGTAGTAGTAGTAGTAGTAGTAGTAGTAGTAGTAGTAGTAGTAGTAGTAGTAGTAGTAGTAGTAGTAGTAGTAGTAGTAGTAGTAGTAGTAGTAGTAGTAGTAGTAGTAGTAGTAGTAGTAGTAGTAGTAGTAGTAGTAGTAGTAGTAGTAGTAGTAGTAGTAGTAGTAGTAGTAGTAGTAGTAGTAGTAGTAGTAGTAGTAGTAGTAGTAGTAGTAGTAGTAGTAGTAGTAGTAGTAGTAGTAGTAGTAGTAGTAGTAGTAGTAGTAGTAGTAGTAGTAGTAGTAGTAGTAGTAGTAGTAGTAGTAGTAGTAGTAGTAGTAGTAGTAGTAGTAGTAGTAGTAGTAGTAGTAGTAGTAGTAGTAGTAGTAGTAGTAGTAGTAGTAGTAGTAGTAGTAGTAGTAGTAGTAGTAGTAGTAGTAGTAGTAGTAGTAGTAGTAGTAGTAGTAGTAGTAGTAGTAGTAGTAGTAGTAGTAGTAGTAGTAGTAGTAGTAGTAGTAGTAGTAGTAGTAGTAGTAGTAGTAGTAGTAGTAGTAGTAGTAGTAGTAGTAGTAGTAGTAGTAGTAGTAGTAGTAGTAGTAGTAGTAGTAGTAGTAGTAGTAGTAGTAGTAGTAGTAGTAGTAGTAGTAGTAGTAGTAGTAGTAGTAGTAGTAGTAGTAGTAGTAGTAGTAGTAGTAGTAGTAGTAGTAGTAGTAGTAGTAGTAGTAGTAGTAGTAGTAGTAGTAGTAGTAGTAGTAGTAGTAGTAGTAGTAGTAGTAGTAGTAGTAGTAGTAGTAGTAGTAGTAGTAGTAGTAGTAGTAGTAGTAGTAGTAGTAGTAGTAGTAGTAGTAGTAGTAGTAGTAGTAGTAGTAGTAGTAGTAGTAGTAGTAGTAGTAGTAGTAGTAGTAGTAGTAGTAGTAGTAGTAGTAGTAGTAGTAGTAGTAGTAGTAGTAGTAGTAGTAGTAGTAGTAGTAGTAGTAGTAGTAGTAGTAGTAGTAGTAGTAGTAGTAGTAGTAGTAGTAGTAGTAGTAGTAGTAGTAGTAGTAGTAGTAGTAGTAGTAGTAGTAGTAGTAGTAGTAGTAGTAGTAGTAGTAGTAGTAGTAGTAGTAGTAGTAGTAGTAGTAGTAGTAGTAGTAGTAGTAGTAGTAGTAGTAGTAGTAGTAGTAGTAGTAGTAGTAGTAGTAGTAGTAGTAGTAGTAGTAGTAGTAGTAGTAGTAGTAGTAGTAGTAGTAGTAGTAGTAGTAGTAGTAGTAGTAGTAGTAGTAGTAGTAGTAGTAGTAGTAGTAGTAGTAGTAGTAGTAGTAGTAGTAGTAGTAGTAGTAGTAGTAGTAGTAGTAGTAGTAGTAGTAGTAGTAGTAGTAGTAGTAGTAGTAGTAGTAGTAGTAGTAGTAGTAGTAGTAGTAGTAGTAGTAGTAGTAGTAGTAGTAGTAGTAGTAGTAGTAGTAGTAGTAGTAGTAGTAGTAGTAGTAGTAGTAGTAGTAGTAGTAGTAGTAGTAGTAGTAGTAGTAGTAGTAGTAGTAGTAGTAGTAGTAGTAGTAGTAGTAGTAGTAGTAGTAGTAGTAGTAGTAGTAGTAGTAGTAGTAGTAGTAGTAGTAGTAGTAGTAGTAGTAGTAGTAGTAGTAGTAGTAGTAGTAGTAGTAGTAGTAGTAGTAGTAGTAGTAGTAGTAGTAGTAGTAGTAGTAGTAGTAGTAGTAGTAGTAGTAGTAGTAGTAGTAGTAGTAGTAGTAGTAGTAGTAGTAGTAGTAGTAGTAGTAGTAGTAGTAGTAGTAGTAGTAGTAGTAGTAGTAGTAGTAGTAGTAGTAGTAGTAGTAGTAGTAGTAGTAGTAGTAGTAGTAGTAGTAGTAGTAGTAGTAGTAGTAGTAGTAGTAGTAGTAGTAGTAGTAGTAGTAGTAGTAGTAGTAGTAGTAGTAGTAGTAGTAGTAGTAGTAGTAGTAGTAGTAGTAGTAGTAGTAGTAGTAGTAGTAGTAGTAGTAGTAGTAGTAGTAGTAGTAGTAGTAGTAGTAGTAGTAGTAGTAGTAGTAGTAGTAGTAGTAGTAGTAGTAGTAGTAGTAGTAGTAGTAGTAGTAGTAGTAGTAGTAGTAGTAGTAGTAGTAGTAGTAGTAGTAGTAGTAGTAGTAGTAGTAGTAGTAGTAGTAGTAGTAGTAGTAGTAGTAGTAGTAGTAGTAGTAGTAGTAGTAGTAGTAGTAGTAGTAGTAGTAGTAGTAGTAGTAGTAGTAGTAGTAGTAGTAGTAGTAGTAGTAGTAGTAGTAGTAGTAGTAGTAGTAGTAGTAGTAGTAGTAGTAGTAGTAGTAGTAGTAGTAGTAGTAGTAGTAGTAGTAGTAGTAGTAGTAGTAGTAGTAGTAGTAGTAGTAGTAGTAGTAGTAGTAGTAGTAGTAGTAGTAGTAGTAGTAGTAGTAGTAGTAGTAGTAGTAGTAGTAGTAGTAGTAGTAGTAGTAGTAGTAGTAGTAGTAGTAGTAGTAGTAGTAGTAGTAGTAGTAGTAGTAGTAGTAGTAGTAGTAGTAGTAGTAGTAGTAGTAGTAGTAGTAGTAGTAGTAGTAGTAGTAGTAGTAGTAGTAGTAGTAGTAGTAGTAGTAGTAGTAGTAGTAGTAGTAGTAGTAGTAGTAGTAGTAGTAGTAGTAGTAGTAGTAGTAGTAGTAGTAGTAGTAGTAGTAGTAGTAGTAGTAGTAGTAGTAGTAGTAGTAGTAGTAGTAGTAGTAGTAGTAGTAGTAGTAGTAGTAGTAGTAGTAGTAGTAGTAGTAGTAGTAGTAGTAGTAGTAGTAGTAGTAGTAGTAGTAGTAGTAGTAGTAGTAGTAGTAGTAGTAGTAGTAGTAGTAGTAGTAGTAGTAGTAGTAGTAGTAGTAGTAGTAGTAGTAGTAGTAGTAGTAGTAGTAGTAGTAGTAGTAGTAGTAGTAGTAGTAGTAGTAGTAGTAGTAGTAGTAGTAGTAGTAGTAGTAGTAGTAGTAGTAGTAGTAGTAGTAGTAGTAGTAGTAGTAGTAGTAGTAGTAGTAGTAGTAGTAGTAGTAGTAGTAGTAGTAGTAGTACTACTATTCGAAGTAGTAATAGTAGTAGCAGTAGCGGTAGTATTACTAGTAATAGTGATGAAAGTACTATTGAAGGCTAATTGAACAAAATATCTTCGATTTTCCTTCAATCATTTCAATAATTCTAGAAGGCTTAGAATTATCGTTTTAAAACTAAAAATATTTACGACTATTAGCATTATCTTAAAGAGTCTACTGAAATCTTATACGTAATGTATAAACACACTTTCTGTCACTCAATTCAGTGATGACTTGAAGCTCATAATAATATGTACTTGAAATATCAGACTACACAGTGTAGTGAACAGACCACGGGTGAGGAGAATCGAATGTAGTTAACACAGCATTACGGGACTTGTTAATAAAATCTAACAATCATAAAGTAAATACGTAATTTTCGAAATCTCCACCGATTGTCTCATAATGACTCAGACTTCATTGTTCTTGTATTTTCATACAAATTCCATTCTGTTTCCATTGTTTACTGTTCGATCCTCTTGTCTATCTGCTGCCAGACATTCTATTCACGATTAGCATCATCTACTACTTATATCAATATAAGTAGCATACACCACAGTCTTATCGATTAATAATTTACGTAAATCAATATAAAAACGATCAGTGATAATTAGATATCAATATTATTCTGTTAAAAGTACATGCAGTTTGATCTGCATAGTTTGTTCATGGATTTCTATCTGAAGTTTTGTGTGGATGATTTCTTTCACAAGAGTGATTAAATCTCTATGACCAAACTAATTAGCTTAGAGTACCAAAATCTTCAAATTCTAAACAAATTCGTGATACACAAATGGCTTAAATGGTTTTATCATACTGCAACCGATTAACTTACAAACCTGTACATATACATTCACCAATTCATTTACATTCAACTGTATTACATATGGTAATTTTGCGCCTGGAGTGAGACTGATAGGTCCTACGTTCGAATCTCGCAGTGTGTAGGATCGTGGATGCACACTGCTGAGGAGTCCGATACTGGGACGAAACGGTCGTCCAGTGTTTCCAGTTTTTCCATAGTGGTCTACCTTCAATTGACTCATGATTTCAATCAGTGTAACAAATAATTGTCTAAAAATGATCAGATAAATTCTTTCATTTTTGTTCTGCGTTGTTATTGTTTAACTACTTCTCGTACTTGCTTACTCCACTCACTCGCTTACCCACTAACTGCTCCTTGTATTATCTATATAATCAATTTGTATTGTAGGACATAAATTTAGATAATTCTGTCATGTTTTGTTTTACAAGCGTTCAAGAAAACTTAGAACGGATGAGTGAGTGAGTGGATATACACTTCAGTGGAAGATCAGAGTGAAATGAATATTTGTTGAGTAGGACATTTTGTGAGAGGGAATTTTTTGTAACCAGATAATATTAAATTGTGAGTAACTTCTGGGAACTATTCATGGACTGTTATGATATATATCTTCTTACTCCATAACCGTTATTATAAACTTCTATCTGACCTTTTGACTGGTATCAAATACTTTACTAGTCTTAAGTTATCCCTAATGCATTAGTTCTATTCTCTCACAATAACAGCCACTTTGAGCTTGAGCCTTTATCATTATTATTTTCTATTTTCTATGGTATGACGATGTCTAGTTTGTTTGTATATAAACCAAATATGTCTGAAATATATGGTTCATATAGTGATGTTCTGAACTCAACAGGCAAGGCTAAGCACGAAGGATTAATAAGGAATCTTGACTTCTCGTTCCAATCAATACATCATTGGTTTGGCACAGTGCCAAGATTGTATAAGTTGTGTTCTGATTGGAAATTTACTTAGGTGATAATTAACAAGACCAAAACAAACATAACAAGAGAATTCCTCATTTGGTTGATAAATAAAAATTAGAGAATAAAAATGTTCAAAAAAACTTTCTTGGCCAGACTATAAATTTAATGGATGAACCAATCAGATTTAAGATAATAGGGTCTTAGATTTTGGCGCTAGATTCATCCATTCATTTGTCTAAATACCATTTTGGCATTATAGCTGATGTCAGTTCGTGATAAAATCATTGAATATAATTTCTAACCTTAACGTTCAACTGTAAATCTTAATCCTAATGTGGTGTATGATACTTATATCGACATAAGTAGTATATGATGTTAGTCGTGAACAGAAGGTTTGGCAGCAGAGAGACAAGAGGATCGAACAGTAAACAATGGAAACAGAATGCAATTTGTATGAAAATGCAAGAACAGTGAAGTCTGAGTCATTATGAGACAATCGGTGGAGATTTTGAAAATTACGTATTTACTATTTGGTTGTTGCATTTTGTTAACAAGTCCTGTAATTTTGTAATAAACGCATTGGATTGTCCTCGCTAGTGTTCTGTTCATTACACTAGTTCCTCGCACTAATTTGTAGCCCTTATTTAACCGTTGTAGGTAGATAGACATTTTCAAGGTCATTTCAACGTTGCTTGAAGGTCGTTCATAAATTATAGTCTCAATACATCATGAACTGGACAGGAATTTTCGCATAGTTATTGACTTCTCAATAGTTTGTACTCACAGATTCATTTATAAAATGATCAAGAATTTTCAAGTTTCACAATCAAATTGATACTAATTCACCAATTCATTTCATTGTGTCCTATAAAGGGCTGCCTACTTGAGCATTTGGGCTACCTGCTCCTGCCATCCAGATATTTAAAAAAGTTATCTATTTTTATTTGTTTTAATACATCATTATGTTTATTAATCGCATAACCTATTCTGCTGCGTTTCTGAAAAGTGTACAAACTTTTGTTGTCAAAGTTACAAAAAACTCAATAAGAGACAATGTGGTTGTTGGCAATATACAACGAAAAGAATGCAGATTATTCAGATGTTCATTTAGTGAACTGCTAACATCTAAATGGCGATCACTCAGTATTTATCGCCAGGACCGACCAAGAAGAAAGAAACGGAAACTTGTTGAAATACTTTGCGCTGAGAATTCTATATTGTACGAAAAATATAATATTGAATAAAGCTGATAATAATAATAATAATAATAATAATTCGATATTGCTAAACTGGACTGGTTGTAGCCTCAATTGTAATGAGTTATGCTCGCAGAAAGACTTCAACATCATAAGTTCTCTCAATAAAGTTTGTATAAATGTATTGTTATTGAAATTAGAAATATCAGTGAAACAGTTGTCAAGTGTGATAAGTCTTATAGATCAATCCTTATTAACTGACTTTCCAACTGCCTCCTAGTCGACAGGATTTTTCCACTCTTAATCACAGAACAGCCAACACCTATACTTAGATTATCAGTTGAGAAATCTATAAGAATATGTACAAGTTTCTGGATGCTTCGGGATAGAATGTTTCAGCATTTTGAAATGCTCTCCCGATCTCCCACATTGTTTGAGCATTTCATGTACATGAATTAGTTGTTGATCTGGTTGTCAGAAGAGGCATCAGCCTCGTGACTTCCGAAGGAACTGGGTTTTCACTATGAGGCGTCATAATTCTTCGAAATGGAGACCTTCTAACTCTTAGGGTAGAGTTTAAATTGTTTGAATTATTCTTTCTAGTTAGTGTTTTTTTAACGAGTTAGTTTTCTACAGGATTGGGTCACTAGCTCCATGCCCAACCCTCCTCTTTTATCCGAGTTTGGGACCGGCAGTAGCCCCAGGAGTCTCCAGGAGGAGTTGGATAGAGTGCTGTAAATTATCACCCAGGTAATTAACTATCCAAACAAGATCATTAAAACACAAACTATTGCCGTCTAGATGTCTCTTGGAAGTTTCCAGAGAACGTTGATCGTTCAAAGTATGTTCAAGGTTTCTCTAGTTTTGTCTGAAAATTTTCCCAAGGCTCTCTAACCCAAAGTCTCATCACTGTCAATGATTTTCAAATAGTTTCAAAATCAAACAACTATTCTAATCTAATGTTTTTCAATAGCAACAGTGATTTTTATTTGACTAAAACAATAACAACATAAATCATTTCAAGTAAAGATGGATAGCGGCTAACAGTGGAATTTATGACACGCGTTCCTTCCTATTTCGGACACATCAGCTGGGTGTACCCTCATCTCAAAGCTGATACTCACTTTAGGACTTGAGCCCAGTACCATTCGTTTCAAACGCCATCACGTTGTCCTGAAGGCCATTGACTTGTTCAATGAAGTGAAGTTTAAATTCACTTGGTGTTGTTTGCCTGTTACTGCTTTACTCCAGTCTTCCCATTGATGTTTAGCACTGCAACTGATCAATCTCTTATTGACATATTTACATCCTGTATGGATTGCCTCGATATTGCCTACAGTCACGAGCATTATAAACATAGATGGACAGTGGCTAGCAGTGAAATTCAGGACACACGTTTCGTCCTATTTCGAATGCTTATGAATTAAAGGTAATATGTACAGTATGCACATATGCCGAAAAACGACTAATCAATTACAGTCTTAAACCTCAATGGAAAGGTTCAAGGAAAACAATACTAAGTAAAATAGATCATTTCACCTAAACACTGAGTTATTCAATAATTTCTGAATCCAGTATACTCAGGGTATCACACACGCACACACAAATGCTCATGCAAACATAAATAAACAAACATGACTATTGTCAACTACAAAATAGTTATGAAAGTTACTATGGTAACAATGAACCGAAATAAAAAACGACACGATTCAAATATTTTAAAATTTTTTATTGTCAACTCAATCAACTGGGTTCTTTTTCCTGTATTTCTTGGTATTGTAATTTATTTCTTTGGAGGAAAATACTATTTCTATGGACATTCCGAATCTTAATGTAGATGCATATACACGTACGTATGTATGTATGTAGATGTGTGTGTGTGTGTGAGTCTACGTGCATATGAGCTTGTTCGAGTGAAAATATGAATGAAGTAAATATGTTGACGAAATAAGAATTTATTTATTCTACTCCACTTACAGGACATATATACATATCTATATATCAGTAGTATTAGTAGTAGTATATTACTAATATATTAAATCGCGTCTATTAGTGTATAATCGTTATACCGGTATCATATGCCTATTAGTTACCTATTTTATAATGAATTTCCTGATATATCATCAAATGAAAAACTCAAACTTGTGTCGAGTTAAGCAAGAAAAAAAGTCAAAACTGATATGATTATTCATGAATAAAGATGATATCATCGTAGAATTATGATTCAGGTAAATTTATGGAGTTCAATTCAATGTTTAAAGTTGACAGATTCATATTATTGATCTTTTTATAGAGTGAAAATAAGATGATACTTCACAAATATCAAAATAGATTAGTGGATCTAATCTGTGTCCGGTAAAGACAGGTATCTATCTTAAACAATTGAAGATGGTCACATAATTTTGTGGATTAGTTGAAGTTTGAAATTTGCACTGTCAGACGTCAATTCAGTAGGTGTGAACTTAGCCGTTTGAACGCGAGATCAAATGTCCTGGGTTTGAATCCAATGTCCAGGATCGTAGATACGCACTGTTGAGGAGTTCCTTCTATACTAGGACGAAAAGGCCGTCTAGTGCATCCAGGTTTTCAGTATTGGTTCAATATTGATTTATTCATGATCTCATTTGAGATTCAACAATCTCGTAAAACCACATACTGATAATATTCATACACTGTAATAAATAAACATTCAAGAATAATGGAAATGATGTTAAGTGATTTAGACTAGTGGTTATGTGGTGCGTGCTACTGATATTGATATAAGTAGTATATGATGTGAGTCAGGAATGTAATGTCTGGCAGCAGAAGATGGGGAAGATCAAGAAAGGAAGAGCGGGAATAGAAAGCAATGGGTATGGAAATGCAGGAACAACGAATTTGGAGACAATTATTGAACATTTTGCAAATGAAGTATTGGTGAATAGTTTTTCTATTTTATCAAGTAACTCTGTAATTTTGTGCTAAACAAAATACGGTTGTCCTCACTTGTGTTCTCCTTCACTACAGTGACGTTGAATATTAGCATTCGGTCAGAATTGAACATCAGGGAGATAAAATACGCAATACAACCCAGTGGGTCTTTTTTTTTATCAAAACAACCGAAGGAACATCATGTAGTTGTGCATTTGTCTGAGCTGGAAAATGGTATATCATAAACTGAATGTCAAACAAACTAGTGGATTGTAAATTAATGACATCAATGGTAGGATACTCAGTATTAGACATGAAGGTTATCAGAATAAATTCAATGAAGACTCTTAAATGTGCACTTTCTTCAAGTGATAAATTAGAAATTAACTACTATCTAATACGGTATTGAAACCTATGATAACCCACTTTAAATAAACACTTATATTTTTAATGGTTAAGATCATGAGTCAGTTGAAGCTAGATCACCATGGAAGATCTAGAAGCACTGGACGACCATTTCGTCTTATTGTGCGACTCCTCAGCAGGGTGCATCTACAATCTCGCCTCTTGAGATTCGAACAAAGAGGCTATTGTTCTCGTGTGCGAACGCTTAACCATCAGACTATTGACCCGCCATCCAACGGTATTAATGTCTAACTTCAACTAATCCACGAATTTCAGTCTCTCAGTTTTTAAAATAAAACTTTTATTGTATTTTGAGGTCTTTTATCTTTTGCAGAATGTTTGAAAACAGAAGAGCCAGACATTAGAACATGTTGAGTAGAACGTATAGAGAGAGCGCGTGTGTGTGTGTGTTTGTCTGTGTGTGTGAGTGAGTGAAAAGGATGGACAACTTTCGATTTTCTATCGCCTCTTATTGTTATCTTCTCTTTGTTTTTCATAATTTTGTAAAATGTATGTATATTTGTGTAACCTTAGTTACGGTGACAAAATAAACAGAGGCGTATTAATTAAGTTATCTGAGTAAAGTTGAACTTAATAAATAAGAAAAATACTACTTTATGGCTATCAGACTACTAAAATTACTCATACTAATTCTGCTATTAATAAATAAATTCATATTACTGCTTCTCACACCGCAGCTACTACTACTATTCAGTGTGGAGCTGTGATCAGGGGAGTTCAACCGTGTCTGTTGTATAGGTAATGAGTCACTGACGACACTGGTGGACGATGGAGCGATATCATGGATTGGTTGAAGATAGACATTGACACAGACAATTGCCGGTTAAGCATTCGTGCACCGGAACAGTGGTCCGGGGTTCGAATACCATATGCGGGATCATGGATGGGCGCTGCTCAGGAGTCTCATACTAGAACAAGATAGTCGTCCAGCACATCCATATTTCCCATAGTGATCTGGTATTAATCAGCTCATGTATTCAACTATTAAATTTCTATTTAATTCCCTTAAATACAGAAAATATTTGCATTTTTCTTAGTTTATCGATTTTTTCCTACTAATTACATGTCAGTAGTAATTGGTACGCCATATGTTACCGTATTTGCATGATACACCATCCACATGTATAGATATATACAAACATACACGAATAAACACACCAACATACATACATACATACATACATACTGATGTATAGAAACCCTGAGCATAATATGACTGGCAACAGACTACCAATTAAACACCTAATGGATAATCACAAT